TCGTCGCCGTCTGGGCAAATGCCTGTATTTTCGTCGAATTTGTTGCAATACGCGTCAGGGGAATAGTTGAAGGTGCCATCCCGCTTGCGTATAGGTCGCCGCCGTCGCTGGTTGAGGAAGTGCCAGTGAAAACACGTATATGGCCGATGTTGCGTGCACTTGTGTTGCAGGAAGAGGCTACATTGCTCCACGCGGAATTCCTTCAAATATCTGCAACAAAAGCACTCAAGATCAGCTCAGCGACAAGCACATTGAACCCTGCACTTTATTTTCCACTATTGCACTAAAAACAGAGCTGTCATCACACACACGTACGTATAGTGTATAGGTTTTTCCGTCTGAGTGACCCAAAGAGCCTTGCTCTCCTGCGACTTCATTTTGTTTGTTTTCGTGCCACTGCGCACCCATCTGCGCACCCTGTGACGTCACACACCAGGTCTCAACAGAAGATCTAAGGTCATTCAAGTTTTTTGGGGCAACATAAATTTAATCTGTTATCGGATTTAGCAACATATTAATTTGTATTTAAAATCAAACCTTCTGTAAGCGTATCTTCATTTCTAGTATTTTCAAGCAAATGATTTTCGTCGCAGGACTATTGATTTTAAAGTTGCTAGGGCGGGAAGTGACGGAATTGCGTCGCTTCGCTGTTTTTGTCTCGAAAGAAATGCTAAAACGAAAGAAAACTTCATTCAAGTCATTTAAACTATTTTCGGTGCGATCCGAAATTTACCCCATCCCACGCCGCCGAGGAGGAAAGCATCCCAAACAAGAATAGACTTGACCCAACAGAAAAAAATACGCATTGCATCCTATCATTAAATGCATTACACAAACTGTAATCAAAACAAAGAAGCAATATACCGGTAACGCAAATTCCGCCCTTCCAAGAAATCCAAAGCCACTAACTGCAGTAAGATCTATATTATTACTGGCATACCAATAAAATTGAAACACAAAGGAAGACAGACTCCGCGCTCGGTCTGGGTTGGCAACAATGCTCTCTGGCTGGTCAATGGGTACAAAGGGAACTCGCTCGTCTAGACACAATGTTTGTATGTTTATATATAGTGACGCAATGTTTATATGCCTATATATACGTACATATATATACATACATATATGTATGAATATATATACATTGTTTATATATGTATTATATATATATATATATATATATATATATATATATATATATATTACAAATGCTATATATATTATATATACTGCATATTATATATATATATATATATATATAATATATATATATATATATATATACATCATGTATTATATACCATATATACATCATATATGCATTATATATATACATATATAAATATATATGTAAACACACATCCATTTAGATACTTCTTTATCCATTGATTTGTTAATGATACACAGATACAAAAGAGAGAGAGAGAGAGAGAGAGAGAGAGAGAGAGAGAGAGAGAGAGAGAGAGAGAGAGAGAGAGAGAGAGAGAGAGAGAGAGAGAGAGAGAGAGAGAGAGAGAGAGAGAGAGAGAGAGAGAGAGAGAGAGAGAGAGAGAGAGAGAGAGAGAGAGAGAGAGAGAGAGAGAGAGAGAGAGAAGTGTGTGTGTGTGTGTGTGTGTGTGTGTGTGTGTGTGTGTGTGTGTGTGTGCTAAATTGCTCTAGTGATTCCCAGCTGCTGAGAGACGTCATCTCAGCCAATTAATCAGCAGCACCTGACACACATTAGCGAAATGGCCCCAAAATCGACGCGGCACAACCGGTCGCCGCAGTACTAACAGCAGCACCGAAAGAAAGGACGGGGTTGACGGAAACCATTTTTCTATTATTGCCGAGAAAAAAAACAGTAGCGTTAATAGCGCAGGTAGACACTAGCCAGGGGATTACCTGGCGGCGCAACCGACTCGAATGGGGATATTTTCCCTCTCGTTACCTGGATAATAGCGGGGGAGAAAGAGATCGACGGCGAGGGCGAAGGCGGGGAAGCTTGGCGGTGTGTGTGTGTGTGTGTGTGTGTGTGTGTGTGTGTGTGTGTGTGTGTGTGTGTGTGTGTGTGTGTGTGTGTGTGTGTGTGTGTGTGTGTGTGTGCGCGCGTGTGCGTGTGTGTTTATTCGTCTCACAATACTTCATATTTTTATTATATATACTCATACAATCATTCATTTTGAGAGAAGAGAGAGAGAGAGAGAGAGAGAGAGAGAGAGAGAGAGAGAGAGAGAGAGAGAGAGAGAGAGAGAGAGAGAGAGAGAGATGAGAGCCCAAGCACGAGGGAGACAAAAAAAAAAAAAAAAAAAAAAAAAAAAAAACGATATAATTGCATGTCACTTCCCAATTTGTCTGCGTGTTGGGGGCTGCCATTATGACCATCCATTACCCTGGCTTCCCGCTGTTCTCGAGTGACGCCGCAAATGCTCCAGAAGCCAAAATACAGCGACGTTTATTCTCATCGCTGTGTCGCTACGCAAGCCGTCGGCAAGTCTCCTCAAGCGAATGCAGTACCGCAGTTATTCGTACTTTTGGACTTTGACACGTTTATTGAGGCAAAAGTGAAATTACATCTCAAAAGGATGAGGTAACTTAGGATATCCTCACCCTTACTTAATAAGTCCCCGTGCGGGCTCACAATCATATACAAAACTTAGGTATAATAATATTTAATAATAAATATAACACTTAAATCATAAAGTTATTCGTACGATATAGTTATCAACGCGGATTTACGAACATATAGGTGAGAAATATAGCTATCAATGCGAATTTATGTACATTTAGGTATGAAATATAGTTATCAATGTTAATTTACGTACATAAAGGTGTGAAATACAGTTATCAAATCGAATTTATGAACATATAGGTGTGAAATATAGATTTACCAATGCGAATTTACGAATATCTAGGTGAGGAAATTTTACACAATGGTCGATGATGTATAAAGCAGCTGATTTCGAGAGAGACACTTGAGTTATCGACAGACACGGCCGCAAAAATTCACACCCGACCACCGCTTTCATGACAATTTGGTTCAGACGTTTTGATCGTTGGGTACAAAGACTCACAATATGTTGTAATCACGGGCCTGATTCGTCGTTTTCGTAGATTATCTGATTAATAACACCGCCCCCTCCACCCCCTCCCCCCATAAAAAGTGTGGGTATGTGTGTGCGCGCGTTGCTACGGTTGAAGTAGCCTGAATGAATTAAACGCTTCAGCACACCTCTCAACTCTGTAAGTAAAGCGCGCGAAAGAACCAATATACAATACTCTGATAGTTCACTGTTCATTCACACAGCTCATTCTCCTTCACGCCCTCACACTTTGAACGGTCGCAAACTCTAACCCTCACTCTCGTAATCCTTCATTGTACATCGATACCGATATCATGAATTTTTAGTTGTCTTTCTTTTATAATTTGATCGGCTGTCCTAAATGGAGCTTGTTATAAAATCATACTGTATGTATTTTTATATGAATGTGTATATGTATATGTATAAATATTTATGTATATATATATATATATACATATATATATATATTATATATTACATATTAATATTATATAATATTCATATATATATATATATATATATATATATATATATATATATATATATATATACATAATACATATATATATCTGCACACATAAATATATACATATATATATGTTTGCGTATGTATATATACATGTATACATGCATATATACATACATATATATATATATATATATATATATATATATATATATATGTATATATATATATGTATTATATTCATATATACATATATATATTCATATACATATATATGCATTTATATAAATATACAGTGTATATACTGAATGTGTGTGTGTATATATATATATAAATGTATGTATGTCTGCGTATGTACTATACATAAGTACAGCAAGGCAACAGCTGTCTTTTCAGTCAGTGCAGGACGGAGCACAGAGGAGGAATTTGCACAATCATTCCAAATAAACTCCATTCGCCGAATTACCCCGCAGAACCCCACACTGAAAGTACGCTCATATCACATGTGTATATTGTATGAATGTTTCTATAAATTCATATGAATATATACACATTGAATACTGTTTATACATTATAAACTTTATAAACATATGTGGATTGGAGATGATGATTTGAGTGAAAATAAAAGACTTAGATTACCATCACATCGCCCTCGACAATCTCATCCCACTTACGTCCCACGCAAAACCAACATAAATCCTCAAACGCTTATTATTTTTTCATGGCTGCATTGCAAGTAACTGAATTCCGGCGCAGGTTCCGCTTCTGTTGCATTCGTTGCTCTCACGTCCCCGAACGACGCGCCTTTGGTTCGTTCTGTGGCTCCTCCTTCAGGAACACATGCTCAGCCGGCCACTCTCCAAAGCCGCTGTTCTGAGAAAATCCTTTCTGTCTTTCAGGAACATCTACACTCCTCCATTTCGGGGCGACGACTGTACTGTATCTAATGGTACTATGCACTTGTATCTCTGCATGTTATATGGTTGTCAATGAATATGCAAACACACACACATACGTAAATGTGTGTATATATACATATACATACATATATATATATATATATATATATATATATATATATATATTATATATATATATATATATATATTATATATATATATATATATATATATATATATAATATATATATATATATATATATGTATCTATATATATATGTAATATAATATATGTATATCTATATATATGGTAATATATAAACATGTATATATATATATATATATATATATATATATATATATATATATATATATATATAATATATATATGTATATATAATATATAATAATATAAATGTGTGTGCATATATATACATACTATATACATATATATATATATATATATATATAATTATTTTATATATATATATACATATATACATATGTAAATATGTATGTATATATATATATAGATAGATAGATAGATAGATAGATATATACATATATATATTATAGATAGATATATATATAATATATATAATATATATATATATATATATATATATATATATATAGAGAGAGTATATAGATATATAGATATACATACATATATATAATATATATATATATATATATATAATATATATATATATAATATATTTATAATATAATATATATATATATATATATATATATATATATATATATATATTATATATATATATATAG